CCGCCCAGGTGGAAGCTGCGAGCCAGACGTGACCCGAGCGCTGGGCACTAGTGGCCGCAGCACTGGCTCTCTCCCAACAGATAAAAGCGGGCACCGGCCCACACCGACCCCCGGCCTCCCCCCAGCACTGCTCGGCGCCTCCACATCCTTCGCTAATTAAATCCCGCTAATGAGAAAATCAGGATGCAGGAGCTGGCTGAGCAACGCTGCCTCCTGCGCACGCACTCCTCCCGGACTTATCACTAGTCACAGGATGTTTACAATAATTTTTAATTTGCGCAATTATTAATCATTTTTCTATCTGCCTCATTTGCATAATAATTACTCTGCTCGCTGTTTGCCATGACTGTGAATGACAGTGTTTTAAATTAAATTAAGATTTTAATACTCGGGTTTTTTGGTTTAAGCTAATCAAAGTTGCCGCTCGATGCCAAGACCGGGGCTGCTGCCCTTCCAGAAACACTGATGAAGAGATCTGCTTCCCGCCGGCGCTCGCTTCGTCTCCATCACCCCCCTCATCCCAGAGGATCCTTCAGCAGCTCCCTGGCCAGAACCGCTCGGCGGAGCCACCCTCCCTGAGGCTTATGCACCACTTTAGGTCCCGTATTTTATCAGTCCCCCTGCAGCCGAGTCAGCCAGCTGCCGACTGAGGACGCACATGAACTCGTTGACATCGTGTCACCCAGCCTCTCCTCTACTCTTACTGCACACAGACATATCCAGAGAAAACTGTAATTCCCAACGTAACAGATACGGTGCATAAATACAGGACGGTAACGTCCGCTGACAAGAGCTCCCCGTGGAATCTGAGATCTGAAAACTGCAGCCTTCAAAACCAGTTGCAAGAGCAGAAGTTGACGCTGTTTGCAGGTACTGGAACGGTTTTGTGCTCGGCACCGGCACTGCAAGGGCTCTGCCTCCCTCAGCAGCAGCTGATCACCCCACCTGCCACACCAGGTAGCCAGCTGCCGCCTTGGGCTGCTCTGGAAGTGAAGCACACTCTCGCCCACGCAGGGCAGGCAGGCAGGTAAGAGCATCTAATCAGGGCAACAACTCTCCACGCTAAGGGGAAATCAGCAATTCCACAGTATTTCTTTGCACATCTCCAGAAGCACTCGGAGAAGCGAGAGCAAAAATGAGTACGTGTCAAATGTAACTCCACTCCTCAAGGCTGCGGCTGCCTCAAGTTATGGAATAAAAAAGGAAAGGACCTTGATGATAGGAGGGGAGAGTGCAACTGGAAAAAATACACAAGTGAAGAGCAGGCTGTCAATACGCTGCAGCGAGCGGCTCCAGCCTCTCATCGCTTCCTCACGCTTCCAAACCACCCTCCGGCACGACAGGCTGCAACGTGGCCCATGTGAGCAAAACCTTCCCCCAAAAGAAACGAGACCCGCTCCAGGCGGTTTCCCTCGCCTTGGCTCTCCCAGCAAATAAAATCCCACCGCTCGCCCCCCCGAGATCTACAACGAGTGCCCATTCCCCATCCCCCGGCAGCCTCAGCCACGGGTGGGGAGCGGTGGCACGGAGTTTAGGGACATCAGAAGAGCACCTGTCACCAAGGGACACACTGCAGCGTATCGTCTGCTCCAGGAAAGCCGGCGGGACCATGTCCTGCTCAGGGAGGGGATCATTCCCACACGGCTTCAAGACACACGTTGGCGGAGTGCGGTTTGTTTGGCCAAGGGCACCACAGACAGCGGAGGCCAGAGCTGAGGCTTCCCCATCTTGGAAAAAACCAGCAGCACACAAAATCCAGTACAAAAAGAAAGCTGTTATGTTTACACAAATTCCAGGACTGCTACAAACATAACGCAAAGAGTAAAAACCAGGGAAGGAAGTCCCACAACGCTGCTCCAGAGAACACTCTGTCCTCGTACTTCTTGCCCTCAAGCCTCCCCAGCACTTGAAAAGCGCCGCGAAGAGCAGCGCTGATGCCAGCCCCGACCACCCCTGCAGACACGGCATCTCCATGGAAACCACTGCCTGCACTTAACACCTGCTCCCAGGGACACCCATGAGAAGAACCTTGTTTACTTCTGCACGTGCCTCCTCGCAGGTCAGGTCGGCACCAGGAGAACCTCTCTGCCTGGCCTCCAGCTCCGAGCCCCACAGACCCCATCACAAGCGAGAGGCGTCTGGGAAGGACACGGGGAGGATCCGACATCGGCCCACAGGCCAGTTGGCTCACAGTACTCACTAGTCTTGGGGTCTAGCTGCTCTCTGGGACAAGTTGAGCACAACCAAAGCCACAGACAAGTCCTGGAGTGGCCTGACCTACCGGTGGAGGTTAACTAACCCTCCAGAGATCAAGGGTGCAGCATCCTCCCACCACGCAGAAAAACCTGAGATTTAGGACACCTGAGGACTTGGGAGCCACCCTCAGTGGACAAAGCATTTGGCATAAAACGACTCAGCATATAGTTCCTATGGTTTTTTAACAAACAACTAAACAGACTAGAAACCAGCGTGTGCGGCACCTCACGGGGCAGCGCCTGAGAGCCGAGCTGCTCCCACAGGCAGTGGCCCCCACAGTTCTCCGCACTCAGCCTCCTCAGCTGCTGGGAAGAGCCTCTGTGGGCAGGTCGCCTCTCAGCACAGCCTTGTCTCTCAGAAGACAGTCCCCGGCGATGCAGGACGCTGAGGATCAGGCTTGGTCCAGGCCGAGCGAGCCGTCCCTCGCAGCTCTGCAGCGTCGGATCGAGGGCGCGGCTCTGACTACATGTCCTCAACACTCCACTTGTATGCCAGCTCCTGCACCGCCTTCTTGTTGGCGAGCCGAGCAAAGTGCTGCGCCTCGAACCCGTTGGACCTACGAAGTAACAGCAAGCACACCATGGGTGGCCGCACAGAGTCTCTTCTGAGAGAGATGTCTGTCTTCCCAGACATCATGAGTTTTCCGCTACTTTAACTGGTAACCCAAGACATCCACGCTGACTACTGCCAACCAGCCCGCTCGCCTGGAGCTCCTCACAGGGCGAACTCTTTGGAGCAAGAGCTCGTCTGCTTTCACCAGGACGGTAGCCCGCTGCCGCGTCAGGCACACGTACCTGTCCACACCATCCCAGCGATGGACCTGTCCACCCCATCCCAGCGATGGCCAGGCCATATATTAAACCTGTTGAGTGGAGGTGCTGGCCCCTTGTACCGAGGTTTTTCTACAAACAGAAAGAGCGAGGAGTTAACAAGGAGCCCTTTCGAACCAGGCCGCTCTGGCAGCTGTATCTGCAACAACAGCTGCATTCTCATGCTGCCAGAGCATTAAGCCCTACGCTAGTGCAACTCGACCTCCGCACCTTTCTTCTCCTTGTTCTCTTTGGCCTTCCTTTTTTTGATGAAGTCAGCCATGGGGTCTCCCTCTCTCTCTTGTTCCCGCAGCATCCGATCCAGATCCTCGTCGTCAATGTACCGCGCCAACGGCTTCTGCATCTCCTTTACTGCGTCTTCCACGTTCTGCTGCTGCTGCCTGTCCTGTGCCAGCCTGCAAACAGACGCAGAGCTCCACTCCACAACCCAGCGGCCACTTACTGGCACTCGCTCGGTTTGCAGGACAGATGAGGGCTCTGAACTCCCACCGTGTGCGCAGCATCCCCAGCGCACATCCATGCTCAAGGTTGTCCAAGACATGTGGAACACTAACTGAGACCAAAGCGACGTGCCACTGACACTGACTGCGGTGGCAAATCTGGGCTAAGAAGCAGGGAAACCCAAAGGCCGTGCCTGGGAGCTCCAGAGAACCTTACCCTTTTCCCCATCTGGCGTACTGCTCGTCTCTCTCAGACTTGGCTTCGGCTTTCTGCCTCTGCTCCAGCCGCTCCTGCTCCAGGTCCCTCCTGCGGCCCGACTTGTCTCGGAAAACTGTCTCAGCATGTCTGGATTCCTCTGGAGAGGGCAGATGCTTCGAGTCACGCATTTTGGAACACTTCATCGTCTCCAGACAATTCAACAGTTAACGGACTCGTTTCAACAGTTTTTCCTTCTATTTGCTCTAGCATCTGAAAGAGCTTGTCATCCAAAACCAGGCAGGACCACATCTGCTCTTAGCTACCACCCTACGCAGCCACGCTCATACCCTGAGCTCTCTGAGCATCAGTTGGCCTCTTCAGACTTGCAGATGGGGCAAGCGAGAGAAAAAGCGTCTCCCCCTTCCTATGATTTCACTGGCATTGCTCCAAAACCACCGTTTGGAAGCCTTTCAGTTCAGAGGCTCCGTGACCCTGCCCAAGGAGCCCATCAGCACATCTAGACACAGCTCCACAGCGATGCTCTCCACGAGCACCCTAACGCCGGGGCCCGACGCAGCATCAGATCACTCAAAGGAGGGAAGAAGAAAGCGAGCTGGTGCTCGTGCAGTGTCTCTACACCCTTACCTTCCAAGTGCTTGTTATTTCTCTCGTGCCTCCTGAGCTCCTGCTGTTCCCTGCGCAGCACATCAGCCGACACCAAGCCAGCCTTGATCCCAGATGACATCGTGTTTGCCTGTAAATCCAACAGAAACCACATTTCTCGTTAGCTGAGAGCCCTCCACTGATCTAGAGGCTTGACGAGCGGGCAGCCCAAAACCAAGAGAGCCCTGTCAGCAGACACAGCCATGTCAGAAAGCCGCTTTGCCAGCACCCTCAGCAAAAGCCTGCCCTGAGCTGCAGGAACAGTGTGGGCTGAGGCAGCGCTCCTCCCTCACGCTGCCTCTTACCGCAAGCAGAGGCTCTGGAACGGCTGCACCCATGACGTATACGAAATTTCTACTCTGCAATCTGTGCAGACTTCCAGAGTTTTGTACCAATGGAAAGCGATCCACAGCCTGAAAGGAGAGGTGACGCACTTACCTTCTTGGGAGAGCCCTTAGGGTCACGGTGGCGACGAAGTGAGAGGTCAGGGGGACTCCTTGAACCGAGCTGATCCTTGCCAGCGGGCAGAGGCCGTCGTGGAGGAGATAAGTCGGAGTCCGAAGACTCACTCAGGCGCTGTTTGAGAGGAGCACGCTTCAGGGAATCGCCGCGTACTCGGCCCAGCCTGCGGTCTGCATCAGGAGCATCCCAGGTACCCCTCCGGGGAGAAGGAGGGTCAGAGTCGTGCCTCAGGCACCTCTGAGGCGAGGGCACCTGGCTGAGCTTTTTTGTGGCTGGAGAAGCACCTGCAGAAAAGACATATACTAACTAAAAACTACAGAATTAGTCTTGCAAAGAGACTAAACGCGGTGGCATTTGAGATTAACTCCTAGGAAAATCAAGACCTTAAGAGAGAGCAAGCTGCATGGAAAAGACGAGTAAGTGACAAGAGTCTGGGAACTCTCCTCCTTCTGAGCACGTACTGCCCAGAGACAGGGCTTAAACTTTTAAACATGTTTAAGCCTTAGGCAGCTAACTCTCTGGTTCATTCTAGCCCAGCTGATGAAAAAAATAAAAAAGGATGACAGGAACTAGCCATAGCAAGAGAAACGACAACCTATCTGCTATCATTCCGTGATCTCAGACAACTCATTCCACAGCACCCACCTCTGGAGCGTGCAAATGTGGCCAGAGAGCTGGCAGCCAGCAAAGCACAGGACCAACAGAGCAAACTCTTACACACACTCACCTCTTGTTCTGCTTTGCTTTTTCAGGCTAGGTGACCCAGTTCTCTTTTTCTGAGGTGGTGACGAATCCGAGTCAGAACCACACGTCCTCTTCCAAGGAGGGGACAGCTGCGGAGTAGCCTGACGCTTCTGACGTGAAAAGGACTTGTCAGAGATGCCATGCCTGAGCTGAGATTGCTCTCTTGGGACTCCTCCTGACTGTGACTTCTCCGTGGTTTTGCAGCCCTTCTTCCCCGCTGCTGATCCCACTCTCTTTGGAGAGACATCTGGGGAGTCGTGGCGCTGTCGCCTGGGAGGTGACAGGTCCGGGGAGTCGTGGCGCTGCCGCCTGGGAGGTGACAGGTCCGGAGAGTCGTGGCGCTGCCGCCTGGGAGGGGACAGGTCCGGGGAGTCGTGGCGCTTCCGTCTTGGTGGGGAGAGGTCGGGGGAGTCGTGACGCTGTCGCCTGGGAGGTGACAGGTCCGGGGAATCGTGGCGCTGTCGCCTGGGAGGTGACAGGTCCGGGGAATCGTGGCGCTGTCGCCTGGGGGGGGACAGGTCCGGGGGATCGTG